AGCGAAAACGTCATTTGCTCAGTTGATTCTATAAGTATTAATAAAAGTGGATTAAGTACGTAGCCCATAGCTAGGCGTTATCTTATGTTTTTTTTATGTGTAAGATAACTAATCACATACTACTACTTATTCAAACATTGCAGGTTATGCTGAGTCTCAAGTAACCTTCGATATAATTCTTAATAATATACACATATACAAAGTCGTCAGCTCGTCATTCAACATTAACTGTCCCTGTAAATAATAATTTTCTAATGCTTACAGCCTCTCTTTCTTCTTTTTCTTTTAACCACATCTTCTGGAAGTGTTCAGCTAGTTTGTCTCTTTCAACGTTTTCTTCCTTCTTTCTTGCTAAGGCCTGTAGTAACTTTATATCCCTCGCGGGAATCGAATCCAAGCCACTGCTTTCATAGTCTATTGAACCTATGAGGTCTGAAGATGAGCTTTGAACTGGAAAATATTGTATAAGGACTTAAATATAAACAGGTCGTTAAATGATTTATGAGGTTTTATACCACCTAATCAAAAGAGAAAATTATTGGGATTGAAATAAGGATATTTCATTTGCAGTTGACATTAGCACCTAACATATCAATGAAAGATGCAATTGGCCTCATAAATTTAAAAGCATAGACTAGGACAGAATAATACTTTTATTGTTGATTTGAATTTATGAAAGAACCAATAAACCTTTGAGAGCATAATAAATTAGAAGCCAATAAATTATCTTATAGTTTAAAAAAAATACATTGACTTGTAAACCTCCTCCACCAGTTTTTTTGAAGTCGATAAAAGTATTGGTTATTGAGAAGTTTTAAATAGTGCACCCAATAATTCTATAAATAATAATATCTAAACCTATACAATACAATAATAAAAATACTATGTTATTACCATTCGAAACGGATACCGGTGAAATTTTCTTCGGAGAGGGACATCGAGAACGCCTCGGAGACTCTGTTATAATTTTGTAACAAAACACCATTATTCTCACTTCCTTATTGACGTATGTGTGGGAAATCTAGCGTTATTATATTGTTCAATCTTATAATATTATTTATGTAAGTTTTGTCAACTGTACTACTGAGTTTCTGTTACGACGCATGTTCATGCTGCAGTTTTTGGCCCGTTACTAACTTCGTATTGATTAAATAAAAACCATACTTGCAACTTTGTAACATAATTGAGGTTTATGTACGCGTGGAAATTTAATGGAGGCATTATAATTTATAATAAAGGCATGTAGAGATCCACAGTATAGAAAAGCAGATGAGCAGTGTAATCTTAAACAAATAACGACGGACCCTCGAATTGTTTATATGATATGATTATATATAATAAGTAGTAGTATAGGATATTAGATAAAATATTTGCATATATGTAAGTAAAAATAAAGCTGTCTGCGTTATTTCGTTATCATGAAACAGATTGTAATGAAACTTTGATAGTTCTGAATTCTGAGGACGCTTTAAAAATTATTTCTAAAAGTATGATTTCTAAAGAAAGTAACAGTTCTAGAGAAAGTCACTTTAAATGTTAAAATTTTGAAATAAATGTTATCAAACGATAATTCTGTCAAAACGATATTCTTATGACAGCACCGACATACTTATCGTCCTTTATCAGTTAAGAGATATCATATTTGCGATATGCCAGTTTTTAATCTGCTGTTAAACAGCGATCACGCATTATAAGATGGACGACAAAAAACCTTTTGTTAAAAGGCCTGACGTTCTGAGAAAGCTGAATGCTGAAAACTTGCACTTTATAGAAAGAGGTCTATTGGGTGATCTTCCCGATAGGTTCAAACCTCAAGTTGTACCTGTAAGAGGAAATTATAAAGACTTAGTAGTTTCAAAACAACAAGGCTTTTTGTCTTCGTGTTTACCAGTTCCGGTCCTGGATTCGCCGTGTTCTGATAAAGGACCCTATTTAAATGAAGAACCATGCGTCTCGCCCTTAAAGAAAACATTCAGCTTCAGAGAAAAAATGTCAAAAATGAATTTCTTCTCGAAAGACAGAACTGCAGACAAAAAATGTAAAACGATAGACGAAGAGGATAATCAAATAGGAAAAGCAGAAATAACCAAAGCAAAATTAGCACATGAAGATAAAGTACACAAACGCTTTTGGTTCTTTAGAAATAAAGAATTGGTCGAAAAAAGGGAGAGATCTGGTAGACCCTCTTATAAACGCAGTAAGAGTTTTGAGTTTCTGCCTAGAGCGGCTGAACACGCAGAATTAGAGAATGGGAAGGTAAGGCTTGCTAAAAATCAGTCTTACGCTTTCGGTAGCAGTGATACAATTATTGATTTTTGGTGTTCTAATGAAAGTTTAGATCAATTAGCCAATATTTATTACGACAAAGTGGACACTGTACACTTAAAAAGTATCAGAGAATTACGCCAAGATTCTGATCAATGTTCCTGTACGTCGTCATCAAGCGGACTTGTCGTCAATATCTTGAAATCTGATTCGGTCCAGGATCTTCTTGATGAGTTTGATAAAACAGTAGATATGTTTAGTGAGAATTACTTAAGTGATTGTGAACCATATACAAAATCTGAATATGTACTTTCTGTTAGAGAAAAACGTAAGAGTTCTTCATTTAGTACGTTGCCCTCACCAAAAATAGTGCAAGTGACAAAAGTGAATAAAGTGGATGACGGTTTCAAAGCTGAATTGGCTAAGAGGTTATCAGCTAGACAGAGTGTTGTTGAGAAAACGGCAAGGCGTGGTTCAGTTACGGATTGGTTTGTATTGGAAGAGAATAAACCAACATCATTACTGTCAGAGACTTCAGCCACTACTGAGGCCAATAAGTACCGGCGAGCCCAAAAGAAGCCAATACAACGTGTAAGGAGAATCAGTTCAACAAAATATGTAAGTAGATATGTTAGCTAAGGAGTGATAGACACGTAGAAGGGCAATGGTAGGCACTTGTCAATAAATAACGGCTGTCTCCAAGTGTCTGATATCATAAGATACAGAATTGATATGGTTCATCTTATCCGTGAAGATGTAGACTTGTCATATGTTTTTTTTAATTTAAAATCAGTGGCAATAAATTTTGTAAATCCGTAAAGTATTTTATAGTATCTTTCTTTGTTGATTACGTTTGTACTGCTGAAGATTTTTATTTAAATATAAATTAAATTTGGTAATAATTATTTTTTTAAGCCTGTCATAGTTTAACAGTTAAGTCATAAAAATCTTTGTCGATTGCTTTTACTTTATTGAACATTATAAGCTGTTTGCTGTGATTAGTTAAAATAGTAAATTGTAACGTCCACACCTTGCTCGTTAACTTTAAAGGTTTCTAGAATACTGAAAATGCCATGTTACCCAATCTCAGAGTCCGAATGAAATGCCAAATCACTTGACCTTTTAATATCACATTCTAAAATGGAGCAATACAATCCTATTAGTTCCAATACGCCTTAGCTGAGTGAGAAATATAACAATATTTTGTTTGAATCCCTAATGTGGTGAGGGAATTAACAATTTACTTAGCCCAGCGACAGGTCGATCAGTTACAAAATCACCCGAACCCAAGAAACCAAAAATTAAAAGACGGTTTTCTGTTTCGTGACTAAATTCGTATAAATTATTCTAGTAAGTTTTTGTTGGCCTAACTTATAGTCATCTTTATAAATAATATCGACAAAAGCACTTTTCTATGCTTTTTTCCTAATATGTTTTAGAATACTAGGGTGTAGCGTGTTCAAACTAAATAGTACTATAATAGAGGAGTAAAATTCTAAGACTCACTCATACGTGCCTAAGCGCCATAACAGCCTGGCCGTTCGCCCGCGAATTTCGGCGGTGCGAACCGCGATGCGTCTAGCGACTGAAATAAACTCATAGCAATGTACTAATCGCCGCACGCCAGCGATGCGACCGGCGAAATGTACCGAGCGAATCGCGCGGGCGACTGACGTCGCGACGGGCGAGCGAAACAAATGCATGAATCAGTACGGTGAGCCACGGAGTCGAGCGGCATCGCGGCGAATAGAGAAGGGAATAAATAAGTTTAGTCGGGTCGCGGCGAAAAATGAATAAGAGTTTTTGTTACTGAAATACTGGTAGACCAGTAGGAATGGGATCACAGCATTAATTTAATATACCTTAATCTCAAAAACAATTTTTCAGCGGCACTTAAAATTCTATTTGCATTAACTTTTGCTCCAATTCTGGTTGAATATTCATAAGAAAAATGAGGTTCCAACCATTCTGGTTTCCTAAAAAAATAATTTATAATTGAATGTCATACTTTTGTGGAATTCTCCACAATTTCTCCAAATATTAGGTCTTGAACCAAAAGTATTACTTTCCAAGCAATATGAGATATTTCGATAAAGAATTTGTGTCGAACTTCTTACTGTGGGGGACGTGACTGGTGTGTGAAGGCGGGATGTCGCCCGCTGCGTTCGAGGCGCGTGATCGGGCTAACTCTTTATCAGACTCCAAATCGCGATAACTTATCATTAAGAAGAATGGGAATACGGCGCAATTGTAAAATGAAAATAAATGCCATTAATACCGTTTTAGACGTTAGGTAATATTTTTGTAATTCTATTTTCTATGCTAATTATATGAGTGTATCTGGTATTTTGAATACTGCGTACTGACCTAGGTATCATGCATACCTGATACCACGGGTAGAAGCTCTAGCAGAATGAGTTTGACAAGGTTTTAAATGCATTCTGGTAGTTATGTACAATACATACTAAGATTTTTAACACTTTAATTGTACGCTGACATTGTTGTTTAATACTTTGTCTCTCTTGGGTTAGCTCACGTGTGTTGGCTACGCGAGAGTCGAGACCCTCTTAAATGGCACCCAGGTACATATAGTGGGATTTGTTCACCCTGTATTTTGAGTGGTGCGTTTTCATTTCCATCTTGCGTAAAAAATTGGCTACGTTAAAGACGTGAATCGTAATAAAAAATCTAACTAACAATCGAAAATAAATTTTTTTCTTACGCTTTCAAAATGAAAATCGAGTTTAATAACATTACGTTATAATCCTAGCATCAAATACTTTGTATGACATGCTTGACTGAACTTCAGCCCTGCGATTCTGTAACTCACTTTTCGAACTCACACAGCGGTTTTCGCATCGGCGGTCGCTCTCAAATCAGTCGTGAAGCAGTAATTTTATGATTTGGCATTCTGATAAACAATAAACTACAAGCTCCCACCTTTTCACCTGTGTGAGTTCGAAAAGTGAGTTACAGAATCGCAGGGCTGATGACAAGGATTGTCTTTGGTTTACGCGTGTGCTACATATTTAAGAACAACAATTAGCAGTCAAAACGACAAGTTACGTAAATTATATAAAGTATTCGTGTATTTCCTGGATGATTTTTGGGCTTTTACGAGTTGGTTCGACATCTCCAGGAGTAGATTCATGTAGTAAAAGCGAAACCGCGCCAATCAGAGCGGAATGTGGCCTTTCTCTGAGCGTGCGCAGGGCATTATAAACATGTAAACATACCGTCCTACATTCACTGTGAAGCGGCCTATGTTTGTCTTATAGTATCTGGGTTGCATCTACTATTCAGTAAGAATTGTATAGTATTGAAGATAATTGATAATACTTTATAATTAAATAAATAACATCGCTTAGGTATTACATACCTTAGCGATGCATATCGTAGCAGCCAACATGAAACATTTAATATTTGTTCAAGAACATACGATATACGACATACATACAAAATTCCCAGTCGTATTTGGTAATTGCCGTAGATTTTTCTGTACAAAAGATCGGCTGTTAAATGCTCTAGGGATAAATTTACGATTGGTTTTGAAATATTATTCGATGAATGCTGTCGTTAACAAGAAAATCTTATTAAAAATTATAAAATAAAAACTTAACTTTAATGTTATGCAATAAATGCACCCATTTGTCGCACGTGCGACACACCGGATGCACGTGTGTTTTGAAAGGGGGAAGCGTTCAGTTAAAGGTGACTACAGACGTAAACCAATGCACTTATAAACAAGCAGAACTTAAGATGATCGTGGTGTTTTCTATTTAAGATTTTTTCTAAAACCCTCATATTTAGGGTTCGGTGTAGATGCAACTTAAAAATTCGGCTTAAATGATTTTCAGTTGTTTCACATAGTAAATTATACACATCAAATTGAAGTCCCGATTTCCAAATTGTCATTAATACTTTTTTAATAGCTAGACTGTGCTTACACGATTTTTTTCGTGAAGAATTGAACCTAAACTGCGCCCGTTTAAATCAACTAAAATGATAACATATACATAATTATATACATTTTCTTTAGACAAAGAAGCGAAAAAACAAGTCCGCTAATTATGTAACAATACAGTTCACAAGCTCGATTTTCAAACTCCATAAAAATGTAACAATTGGCAATTACGTATTGAATAACAATTGTATGTTTAACTGTCATAACCTCATAAAGCACTACACGCGGGGAAAGTGTTCGAACAATAGTCGTGAGAGGCTCCAATAGTGAATCGAAATCATGATTGCCTTTGTATGGTGCAATTTAAGAGATTAAAGCGCGAAGGCACTTATTTTATAGGAATACAGAGAGGGATATTATGTTTAATGTAAGAGTCGTCAGGAAGGAGCCGCATATTTAATTTAAATATTAAAACAAGTACAAATAGAATGATTTATGTATAAGAGATACGTAATCTTTTATACATAGATCATTTTTTTTACTAAGATTTCATTCATAATAAATAATTTATAAATTATCTATTGACAATATTATTTATTCAAATTTTTACATTATTTCATATGATTTGTTATGGAATACATTAATCAAGACCTAAAACGGGTCAAGAGAAGTATTAGATTAAGTTTTATTTATGTATTAGAATTTAGTGTTTTTTTATGTAACTTAAATAATTGTTATTATATTGTACTGGGTGTCAGCAATAAAGGCTTAATAAAAATACATTAATCAAATGATAATTATCAATTAAATGATTTGTTATGGAATTAATGTTAAACTATGTATTTAGGCTTGAGAAAAAATATTAATTTGCGAAACGTTTTCGTAATAATTAACTTAATTTAGTTTTTAATATGAATAACAGATTAGCCAACCTTGACATAAAAACTAACTAGAGAAATAATTAAAAAGTATAATGAGCGAAGTCAATAAACCAATAACGCATTGTTTTGTATAATGCGGTTTTAATTAAAAGTTGAAGAGGACTAAATGGTATTGTATGGTAATTGTGCTAAAACTAGACCTTAATATATGTATATTGTTTATATCAATAATTCATAAGGATATAATACAAATATATAACGTGTGCGTTTGACAGCCGTTTTCTTTATTAGTATATATATACTACAGTATTACAGTACTAGATTATAATTGGATACTTTGCAATCCGGACGTTATTTTTGCAATATTTAACATTATAATTAATAACATTATAATTAATAACATTATATTAGTCTCTCTTAAGAATCAAAAGCTTTAGGAAAATAGTCTACACAAGGCTGCTTTCAGAATTTAAATATTATTTTCGATATTTTACACAATAAATCATTTATGGAGCGTTTCTTTAAATAAATCATTTATGGAGCGTTTCTTTAAAAAATTCATGGGTAATAATATACTTTCATTACATCTTCAGTCTAAAGTTTTGTCAACCTATTTCACAGGTCACGCTTCCATTAATCAAAAATATTTTAAACAAAGTTAAACGAATTATGTTCGACCAAGCGTGGTCTAATTGAAACATGCCTCGGTAACGTGAACGTATATAATTAAATTGTATTTTTTTTAAATTAAAATCTCATTGATAATTAAATATAAATTTAAATTTTAACGTTCGTTGCATACAAAAAAAAAATTGAATATATTTAATTAAAAAAGGACGCAACTGGCGGCCTTA